GATTAACTCGTTCGGAGTTCGCTGTCCCTTGTGCAATAACCAAATTCGGTGATTAACTCATGCCCGAACTCTACGCATAATGAAGGCGAATGAAAAAAGACCAATCGACATAGAATAGATTCATGGACGAACAGTAAACAAAGTGGACTCTAAGTCAACCAGCATCCATAATCCACAAGGAACGGCAAACACAACAGAAGACTTCCGAACACACTTTCTCTTGGCCATTTCAGAGAAAACAACTCAAGCACGAGAATGAAATGTTCATGACTAAGAACGGGGTAATTACTGTTTACAGATGCCTGAACAATCTTGACAACTCCCTGTACGAGCAAGGCATCATACCAAAGCAAGAGTATGTGTGGATAATGTATCGGATGAACTACTAGTGCCGAGAAAGCAACCTGTAGGAAGCCGAAGAACCGGATCAAAGAACACATGGTTTGTCTCTGCAGAGCAGATAGGAAGGGCTCTCTGTCTTTGTGGAAAACAGCACATTTAAGAACCACCTCAGAAAATGGGATGCAAGCAGCATCGCCTGGTAATCAAACCGTCAAATAAAAATGGATTCCCTTTAAACTCGCATCTCTCATTAGAAACTTGTCACCATACTTTTGCGACCTTGCCATAATAATAAAACATTCAGAATTCATCAAGAACAGCCAGAAAGTTTCGTCACCAAAACATAGCTCGTCAACGAAAAGAGAAAAATACAGACACTCAGGATGTGAACCCACCCACTAATGAATCGCCAAACTACACTGATATGCACGATTGTTGCGGATCTTGCTTCGGATTCAATAGTGGTTGAAATGTTGCTCGAATGTGAACGAATAAATAGTGAAATTTTAAATAAAAAAATCCGTTTAAATAAACTAATCTTCGCAAGCAGTAATCCAATGCCAGTTCCTGTGTCTCGTTGAAAAGTTCGTTTGAAGAACACCTACTACTTTGAAGTTGTTACGGAAAGTTTTAAAAAAACTTTATTATGACAGAAGACCTGTTATACGGGATTTTCTCTTTCGCTCTCGTTTTTTGTGAGTGCATGATTTGCATCTTTTTGGCTGACTGATGTGACGGTCTTCGGTTTGAAAATCTGTTAACTTTCGAGTGTCAGTGCATCGTTCGTTTCCAGTTTCAACGTTTACGACACCTCAGTGCTGTCTTCGCAGCGACCGGGGATAGCGTACGGTGCGGTGCCTCGCGCTGACATGGCAATCCAAAGCTTTGGCCGCTGAACAGCAAAATGAGGCAATCACGAGGGAACGAGTGAAGCGGCGCAAAGACCAAAGAAACAACTGATCCCAGAGGACAACGTCCATAATGTTCGTAAATGAGAGAGGTTTGTGCAAGAGTGCCACGCCGTCATCTGTTCAGAAAGTTAGTAGTTAGTTTTCGAACGAGCCGTCAGTACGAGTGAAATTGGACCTCACGACGTAGGGGACAAGAGCCGGTGAAGAGCGGATTAATCTTCCAACGAAGAAAACACTGTCGACGTCGCCACTGCCGCAGGCGCCGTTTCTGCGAGCAACCGTTCTCGAAACGATGTCTGTGCCTATTTCCGAGGAATCAGAGTGCAGCATGGTGAATAGTCGACAACCGAATGCTTGAGTGAAGAATGAGTGAGTGTCAGGAAATCGCCCTGACAAAAGAAGCTCTCACAGAAATGCCGTAAACCACCGGAAACAGCCAGTTAGTAAGGAACGCACAGACAGTGAAGCGAGTGGCGACAGGGACAGGGCCGAAGATCCGCCAGAATAAAAAGAACAGACGTCTTGTTCCTTCGTGCAACGATTTATTAGCTACTGTGCTGTCGCAGGGTTGTCTCTTTAGGGCAGCGCTCAGTTCATGCATGTTCACCTGATTTGACTCGCTGCAGACGGGACACCGTCGCCTCTCTCGGCTTGGAGACGGGCATTCGGCGACTTTAGCGACGTCTGCGGGGTCACAGGCAAATTCACCGGAAGCACCGTGAGCGAAAGTCGGAAGGTCATAAGGATGTGACTCAGCGGTCGTCCACCTCACGTAATACTGTGTTATACGATCCGTGACTGTAGAATGGGCTTGAATTCCACTTTGTCATGCGTCCATCTAAAGAGTATCGCTCATACGGTGTTTTGTCTCGTTGGCACAGGAAAGACGACGAGCTAAATCTTATGTCTTTTACTGAGACCTCACTCATCTTGCTGGTACAGTCCAATATTAACCTCGCAAGAACAGATAACATCAGACGCGCGCGTGTGCGTGCGACTGTCTTCATCAGCTCAGTCTTACGGTATGGTCGTAATGCATAATCGAATGGTGCCTGTTGGACGATAGACGAAGTCATAATTTTAGGGGCATATCCTACTGCATCGGCGAACGAGACATTCCTAAGCGACTACTGGTCTGCCTCCAGTAGGTCTTTCCAAATGTTCGATGTTAACAGCCGGACCTGCGGTGTCCGTGGTTTTGACGTGCATACCGTCTGCACAGGTGCAAATTCCGAGACTAGCTTAAACGCCGGAGCGGAGCGGGTAATCAAACTATGGACATCTTGCTAGCGAATGACCGCTTTACAAACTAGATGATGGTACTTCAGAAGTACACAACGGGTGGGGACCTGCTCTCCGGTGGCTTTCCAACTTAAACATTGAACTTGGTTCATGCACTCCTCGCTGTCATACGAAACGTAGAAGAGGCTTGACGATGGCTATTGGAGGAAGACTGTGACGTGGTAAGTCCGCGCCGAAATCAAGTCTTATATGAGTGAAACTGACGGGGAGGCCGCAACAATTTTAAACCTGATGGCTAACGGGCGAACAGCGACTCAATCTTCTGCCCACAGCTAACGTAGAATGGTTCAGAGTCTCCCTTCGAGAGGTGAGTTCGAAAGTAAACACCGCCACCGAAGATGAGAAACGACAGGATGCGGTTCGACATCCTCGGACTTCGTCCATCGCGAGGTGGTGAGGGTAAAAATCATTACGTCGTCACCCGTTGTCTCCGGCTCGTTCGCTGCCACTGGCCGACAACACACCGAAAGTATGTACAAACACGGCTGGCGCTTAGTCGGCAGTACGCGAAAATGATCGTTAACAGTTACGCTAAATGAAGATACACCAAAGCAGAAGTGAAGAAGATTTCTGACGACGTGGTCAATTCCAAATCGTCATTAATCGCCGTCGTAATCTGCCATGAAGAGGTGCAAGTAAAAGACGAAGAATTATCGATTTTTCAGCGTTGCTACTCGACGGCAGTCGAAAAGCAACTTCAGTGAGGAAGCGCGCATCGCCTCCGATTACCACTGATCGGCCCAACGACGTTATGCATATGCATATGCATATGCGTATGCGCACTGATACCAGATGGTCGGTTTAAAAGGTGATGCGGATACTCGCGTCGAAAAGACCGGGGTCGTCGTATGATCTATTGCCCGTTAAAAGCATGAAGGTACCAAATACAAAAATTCTGAGCGATGCATGACCACACATGTTGACCGCCATCTGAACCAGACTGGTGATTACGATGATAATTCGCATTCGCCTTCGAAAAAAAATCATTCATTAAGTTCAACAAGTCTGCCCGGCTGGACTACTTGTAAGCCATTATGAAAAACCTCAGCAACCGTTACGTCAGGGATCATAACCATATTATGGCACGGCAAAAAAAACAATTCACCTCACCGCGTTTTTCAGCTTATGGCACCACCCTGCTGATGCAGCATGTCCAGAAGAGCAGGCCAGAGGATTCAACAGCATGTTGGTATCTACGGCGAACGACAGATACTTGCAATAGTTTACTACCCATAACGAGCAAGAAACTGGCCTCTACATGTTTTCGCAAAAATATGGCTGCGTACGTCCGATAATTACATGCAAATATCCCCCCCCCATTTAATAGGCAAATATCTCTACCGTGCCTCGTGGCATGCCGTCATGGCGCCGCTATTCGTTCGTCCGTATGAACCTCTATTTTGATTATGCTTTGAAAGCACGTAAGGGAACATTGGCTACCGAAACATCATAACCGGTCAATGAAGTATAATAAATAGTCTAAAAAATGCATGGCAGCTGCACCAATAGCGCGTAGTCGTGACCTGATTAAACAATCCTCTTGTTCGTAGACGATCATGGCGATGTGTAGTCCGGAATCGTTATTATTATAGGGGAGAACAACAACTTTCCTTAGTGCGCAATTGGACCGGGTAGTTGTTTACTGCTCCATTTACTGTTTTTGTTTTGCCTCACCCCGATTCGTCTTGATCAATCTTTACGCTACATTCTGCTGCGCGAGGTTGTGTAGCCTCATGTTATATTAATGCTGTTATGGTCTCTCAGCATATTTAAACTTATGGATAAAATATAGATATCCTTATAAAAAGAGCCACTCCGAAAAACAGTGTTAACATACGCTGGGGGAATACGGCTATCGCACTCGTTGGGCATGATCACCATTCGAGCACAGGATTTATTGGAAGATGCTGGAGTCATAGCTGAACTGTCCGTATGGCCAGCCTCCTATAAACGTTTAAGAATCTAGACAAGCAAAAGAGACGAATGGACATATAGATAGACAGAAAAATATATAATCGGATAGATAAATAGGCAGATAAATCGACAGAGAAATTAATGAATAGAAATACCGGTACGCAGGCTGACTGATAAACAGACAGATAGGCAGGCAGAGAGATAAGTAGATAGACAGATGGACATATGAATGAATAGAAAAATAGAGAAGCCGAATGATGGACAGGTAGGTCGACATATGAATGAATGGACGGATAAACGGGCAGAAAGATAGATATGCACAGAGATCACTTGACAGATAGATGGGCATTTGAAAGTGGAAACAACCGACGGATGGAAGCTTTCTAACTGACGAGGTAAATGTGAAACACAAGCTCGGAAATACTCGAGACACTCATAAATAATATAGTCGCTGCCCTGCTGTTTAACCTCCTAGTGAAATGCACCCAACCTTTAGCCATATAAAAGGAGATGTCGGTGGCTTTTCAGCTAAAAATGCAAGTGTTTGCCAAGAGGAGAAGCAACGGCTTAAAAACAGTCGTTTCCATTATAATAATATGTCGCAGTCAAACTTTAGGCTGGAAACACCACCCTTTATTTCCTACGCATCGTCAATATAATTTCATATTTGAAACATTCAACCCAATATCTGAAAACTCGGTAACAAACCTTTAACTAGTTTAACTTCGAGCTAGCAGTATGGTAGTAAACCCCGAATACCGACGCAAATATTTCTTGATACGTCTAAGAATCGAGGTACATTAGTTGATGGTCGAATGAGTTTCCGTTCGACCGAAAAAAACTGATGAAGTTTCGCATAATTGCCCCGCAGGTGTCGTAAGTTTCGTTATTTATCCCTAGGCGACTAAAAACAAGGGGACGGTACGACTGCGCCTTGTAAATCCGGAGAAGTGAGAGGAAACAGCCTAAGTTAAATGATGAGACCAGGATAGGATTCACAGTCGCAGTAAAGCAAAGTAAAACCATTTCATTTCTGGTCATCAACATAACGACCTTATCAATAATTATGTCACTTTCCGTTTTCAGCAAGGAACAGAAGTGTAATCGCGTCGTGCACTCAAGTTCTACGGTTCCCCGGCCATATTACTCTACAAATATTGACATCAACCGTCCATCGATGTGTAAAGCTGAAATCAAACATCTGCCAGGCATAGATGAAAATAATGACTCTCTGCTAACTCTCTGCCTTCTCAAACGTCATTGCTTTCATCCAAGTTACAATCTTCACCTCCGAAGTCAACATGACAAAACACTTAAACTTTTTTAACCTGCAATAATTCCCATCCCTCCGTCATTAATTAAGGTCGTTTCAATGTACCTGTAAACAAGGCGTCACTCTAAACAACACCTTGCAAGATGAGTATTTTACAACATATGACATGCATAAATACCTGGCTCTTTACCAAATGGTCGAAAGATTAATGACAAAACGACGTGTTAAAATTCGTCCAAACAAAAATATAAGTTTTCGAGCATGGAGAGGGGGCGAATAACATTCTACTATTTTGAGGCATCCTATTGACAACCAACACCCTATTCAAAGCAAGGGCCAAGATTTTAGACCGCAAAAGCACCATCGCTGGTCTCATGGTACGCGAATCCTTCCTCTTTAAAACGATTCATCCAGCCTTGTGTAAAAGATGAATTTAGATTCTACTAATCACCATTGGTTAATTTTTTTTTCTTTTTCGGTTATCTCATACCTTTTAGGCCTCTTCATTCAATTTTTTATAACTTTCATTTTCTTTCACCTGTATACTTTGTTTATGTTGCATTCTTCTATTACAATGCTTTAATTATTTACCTGCTGATATTTGCTATCCGCTATATAACGATAACTTCTCTAAAAATTATTAATTTGTGCTGAAAGAAGAACACCATTCTGCTTTCCGAAAGCCGCACTTAAAAAACATATCTTTCCAGATTTCTAACCGTCTTTATCTTTACCAGACAAGAAAGTCTGGTAAGAGAATGTCTCCGATCATTAACAGCCTCCTTATGTCTAAATTATAAGACATTTATTGAAATAGTTTAAATTTATTGCAGGTTTCAAAATTTTGATTTCTTATATGAATCTTCAAAGTTAACTCAGAACATCTTTGCTACAACAGTTGCAGAGGATCACGAGTTACACTTCGGAGAAGCAAATGTCAGCTGCGGTTGCGGCTCCGACGTCTGGCCAGAATCGAGCTACACGAAACAACCGCGTCCAACACGTCCGGACACGACACTTCCGTGGCCAGAACTTGCGCTTCTTTTATTAAGCACTTAAATTTTGCTGAATATTTGACAATGCTTTGAGTATCGCGCATAATTCCTCCGACACCAAATTTTATAGTGTAGCGCGACTTCCCCTTGCTCTAGTTGCTTGGGGGAAAGGGCATTTATAAGCAGGTCATGGCTGCATGGTATTTGAGCACCAGCACTGCCAGATGTTACCTACATTCTGTTATCTGCAGCCACCTCATGCTCATCACGAATGATGTTTTAAAAGCCAATGCATCCTATATCCTACCGCATTAACGTCAAAATGTGTTCATGTGCCAGAATATGTTAAACGGCGCTTAACTCGTCCATCACCAGCAAGACTATCAGTACTAGCACGTTTGCTGGGACCAGTAGTCGCATCAGAAGTAGTGCCATTTATTTAACACACTCAGGAGAACGAACATATTCTGAGATTCATACGGTAGAATAAAAGGCATACCAGCTACTGAAACATCGCTTGTAGCGAGTGCAGTGACTGTAGCAAAAAATGCGATGTGAATCTGGTACTGCAACATCCCCAATACCATGCAGTCGCCCCCTCCTTAAATGGCCCCCTCTCAGATAATCAACTAGGAGTTAACGGGACGGTGCAATACGCCGTGAAGCTCAGTTATGCAGGAGACATTCGCTATTTGACATACTCGGAAGTAGGAACAGCTCATGAAGTTTATGTGGAAGTATATGAGGAGTACCAGGGCCTTAAACAACGCTTGTGATGAGTGCAAAGTGGTTCTGGCGGAGAAAATTCGTGCGATGTGAATCTGGTACTGCAGGCTACTCCAATACGATGGCGCCGTCTCCGGCTTAAATGCCCTCCTCCTTCCTACCCCACAGGTAACCACCAAAAGCAAGGGGGCGGTGCAATGCGCTTTGAAACCTTGTCGTAGATGAGTCATTCGTTTACTCGGACGTACGAGAAGCAAATCATGTTTATTCGGTAAGATATGAGGAATATCAACTCCTGGGACATCATTCGTATAGGGAGGGAAGCGCCTCTAGCGGAAAAAATGATGCAATGTGAATCTGTTATTGCAGCTGTCACTATCCGATTCGATGGAACCGCAAACCGCATAAATCCCCTTCCCCCATCCCTTGGTAACTACGAGCAAGGTAGCGGCGCAATACGCCGTTAAACCCGTCCTTAAAACAGTTATGCGCCATTTGGAATACTCCAGCGTACGGAAATGCTTTGATTTTAATACTTTGAGGATATGTCCTTTCGCAGGTTTCACTGTCATATTTTCTACTCGTTCGACCACGACACATCACTGCAATAGCGACGCTTGACTTTTTTTTCTCAATATTTTGTTATTTGCCAGAGCATCGAGTCGCAGTCAATTTTTGTTCATTCGTACATTCATAGTTCTGCTTCCGTTAGTTTGAAAAATGAGATTCGCCACAGTTTCCGCTGAAAGAGTAAAACATTCATTCATTTTCAATCATTCATGAGGATCAGCATGACAAATGCTCTACTGACTACATATCAAATCAGAGGGAAAAGATTACAAGCATCGACCGTGTTTATCCTCGAATAACGACGAATATTTCTGCCTCATGCTGAGTATGCACTTGAATGAGGACGAAATCCTCGGTGTACGTCGTCGAATCCTTACAAGCTCACCGATCATCGATACACACAACCCAACTCACCGATCGCGCTTGCACCGACAACACAGCCGAGAAGCTGCATGTCGACGGCGATTGCGAAGTACGTAATAAATCGACGTCGTTTAACTCGAAGTGTCGGACACAGTGGGTAACGGGTCGGAAAAAATACCCTAGCCATCAGATGACTCACATTCGACGACACTACTTTTTTGTCGTTGTCGCCTCTGACGCGGCTACCGCCGTTTCGGTATAAACAACTTTAAACTAAGGTGTTTTACATTCTCAAAATTACGACGGTCACTACGACGACGAAGAAAAGGAAAATGAGGACGGAGGAATGCTATTGCCAAAAGTTGTCGAGGACCAGCGTCACACAGTGTCCGCCATGTCAGATCCGTTACCAGTCGACCAGTGTCGCAGAGGATCGTTTGACGCACACCTTCAGACAAGGCGATTTGTGGCTTTCGATGAGACGCTTATTATAAGTGATTTCGTTGCTTTGATCCTTTCATCGCCCGCCAGATGGATAAAGCCTTACACAACGTGAGCCATCCCGCCCGATCACCGTCTGCCTCGCCCATACCGCTGCGTCTGGCCTCGCCTTGCCTCAGCCGTGCTGTTAACTGTGAGTGACACCGCAGCCGGTGTTATCTGTGTTTCCAGACAATTAACCCCATCGCAATATCGATATGACCCATAAACAATGGTCGGTCGGTTGGTCGCAGCACCGCATAATCATAGCGGCCGGCGTTATCGCCACCATCCACAGGCCGGTCGAACGGTCAAGGCGCCCGTCAGTCTCATTTCCGTCCGCCGGATGCTGTTAACAAGCGCGTGCAAGTAAACGAAAATCATCGGCGAAAACTTCTCCTTTAAGCTCGACTTTATTCGGCTGCGTTAGCACCGGTTGACTAGATGCTCGACTAACGAGCGAGTGAGCGAGGAGGTCTGCAAATCATCTGTGAGTGATCGAGAGCCGTTTGGATACGGCGTC